AAATGAAGAGCTTTTATCATATCAATCATGTTTTTCTCTATCTTTTCTCCAACAAATGGAGTTAATCTAACAAAATGGAAAATTACAAAAAAAAGCATACATAAGCTGGATTAACATGCAAAAATAACAACAGTGTCTGAAGCCTAAGGCACAATAAAAGAAACAAATAATCAATAAACGTAGTCTCATTTTGAATGAGCTTTCAAGATTTTCTCCCAGAAATTTGAACTTTGAGCATGACAAAAGATATGGAATTAAAAGTTTTTTTTTTAAAAGTTTTTGAACATATGATAAAAAACTTTCGCTAATAAATGAAAGATCAAAACAAACGTGATAAACATTTTAAGCTTATTGTAATTTCAATCAACTTTGTCTTTTAGAAAAACACTCATGGACAAATGTTCATCTGTCAGACGAGAACGCTCCTTTCTTCCTAAATAAGCTGACGTGGAGAAAGCACTCTCACTAGGCACACTTGTACATGGTGTTGTAAGATACTTCTTTACTAATTTTTCCAATACAGTTAAATGATTTGATTTAAGCCTTTAATCTTGAACCAGAACGAAATCGAGAATATAGATTCCCATTATATCATTCTGAAACTTAAACTATCTAAACACAAAATCAATCCTTGCAGCTGTGTTCGATCCTAGCTTCGTGCAAGAATTGATTTTGTGTTTAGATAGTTTAAGTTTCAGAATGATATAATGGGAATTTATATTCTCAATTTCGTTCTGGTTCAAGGTTAAAGGCTTAAATCAAGAACAAGCAAGCGATGTTCGTCCAACAAGAGTTATCTCCAGATAATTGCCTGTTCGTTATCAAAACTCAGACGCGAGAACATCCTGGCAGCAGAGCCTAAAAACAGAAATAAAATTTAAAAAGGTTCCGAATCTCCCTTTTCCAAATTTAATGCTAAGTTAATATAAAATTAATTGTAAGAGTTTTGATATATATATATATATAGAAACCGGGATCTCTGAGCTTGACAAAAGTTCATACTTTCGATATGTTATCGAATGAACGAAGCTTAAATTTAATCGAATTGCGTTTGATAACGACAAAGAGAAATTTACTGGAATTCTTGACTTCTCAAAGAATCCAAAGTGTTTTCAATCGGTGTGCTCAGAAAAATTTGATGGATAAACTTTCAAAGATCACCTCCCGTCTTGAAGACCATTCCGACTTCAGAAAGGTTATAGTCTGTAATGTTAGCGCCCATGTTCATTCGCGCGTTTTTTGACGAGCGATGGCTAAGTTAGAAATGCAAATACCATCTACATTTTTGTTCAGAGTTTTCTTTGTGTTCTACTCTCTCTAATCGTCATTTCGCTCACGTCATTCGACTGTTCAACCGTTGCGGAGCGCAGTTGGTCTTTAGCTCTTGTAAATCTTCGTCATAAATTTTCTTTTCTTTATTTGAGTATTTTATCTAAAGAAGATTGCACATTGTACTCATCGAGTTATACAACTGCACTGATTTATGACTTTTCTTTTCATCAGCTACGTTATAGTGAATTGGATGAAACAAGCCCATCATGCATGACCGACTTTTGCCCAAAAAATAATATCCTTCAATAATCTGTGAAAGGTCCACTTCTACTAGTAGTTATTTCATGACAGTCTTTTGCAGTACCCATGCTTCGAAATATACGAGCACATAAAGACCGTCATTATCGTTACGTATTACATCCATAAAGCTATTCTGCGCAATTGAAAATGATAGTATTTCCCTTGATTCGACCAAACCGCTCCTTGAATTAGGTAAATCTCAAATATATAGTAAAACAACCAAATAACAGCACTGAAATGAGAGTCGATCATTGATTCATCTATAGAATGATCGAGAGCCATCGACGCTATGGAAGTTGATCGAGACAGCACCAGAATTCAATAGACTCGTCAAAAATTAAAAGTCATACCGTTTTTGCTGAGCATACGTAGAATATGATACTTCATTGCATACCGCTGGCTCTTGTAGCGGCAGCTTATTCTTTTGTTTATTTTCTGTATCGTTTTGGACTAAAATTGAGTCGCGTGAACTTATAGACTAGAATTATTCCTTCCGCTCTGAGTATGTAGATTTTGCTGTGCTGATATTACGAATATAAACTTTGCTTTTAGAAAATTTAATTTTGAGCGTTTAAAGGTTCAAATACTTTGAAAGTTGGTGTACTTTTTGTTTTTTGTTATTTGTTCATCTCTGCTTACGAATTTTTATTGTGATTACTGTGCTGACTTTTCTCCGAGGTGTAGTCTCACGGTGATGAAAAGAAAAAGAAAGGTGATGAAACATAAACTATGCTTAGAATGTAATACTAACAGAAATAAATCTACCTTTTTTCTATGATGGCTAAAACATTGTCACGGCTCAACTAGTTGAGCGAGAAATAGATAGTACAAAAGGTACAGTATAGCAAATAATCGAACAGAAATAAACAATAAATGTTTATCATCATCATCATTCCTGCAACTACACAATTCATATCATTTATCATATAAAACTCAAACAAGACAAATGCTTCAAAGACTGGCATTACTACTAGCAGCTGCAGTTTTGGTAATGGTCTTGTTAGATCAGTGGTAAGTGTTCAACCTTTTCCTAAGTTAAATCTACACTCTAAATGAAAACCGATTTTTAAGGCACCTTTTTTCCGCTAAACACTTTTGACAAAGGCCAGTGTTAAAATGGGAGATAGAGGAGCACTTTTGAAAAGCGAATTCGACTTTAAAGAACTCTCGAAAGTGGCGAGCTTACCTGCTAAAAGTGTCCAGAAATAGAACACTTTCTCAAAGTTTTCCTCAATATGCAGTCTAACATTCGCTCCAAACAGTGTCATAACTAGGAACCATTCTTCACAGTTACGCTTTTTTTTCCAGTGTGAGAAAAACTTACTTTTAAAACGTATTTCCTTTCTAGTGATGCATTTGATCACCGAGGTGCACCGCAGCCTTCTAATGATCCTACTGATTTGCATCGAATAGCAAGAGTACTGTCCGACAAATCTCAAGCAGCTAAGGATCAGATCGATAGACAGACGCGTGTGGCAAATCCACAAATTTTGCCGTCACAGAGAACGTGAGATCGGTATTGCTGCTGTTTTCACCTCTGTGTGAAGTAGAGTCTCAGTTCTCAATTTGGTGGAGGAGACGATATATTGGAATGAAATCATGATGTGATTGATTCATTAGCTATGTGATCAAGCCGCAGTGGTATTGGTGATGTTACTTTCTATGTATGGAGTCGAGTCTCAGTTCTCAGATCAAAAAAGACGATATAATCGAATACAGTTATGTTGTGAATGGTTCATTAGCTATTTGATCATGCGACACTGATATTAGTAGTGTTACCCTCTTTATGTCGAGTAATATTTCAGTTCTCAAATCGAAAGAGACGATATATTGGAACGGAATCATCGTGGTCGTCGTTTAGTGTGTAAGATGGTTTGAATATGATTAATGTTGTGGAATTAAGTCTCTGTTTTTGATTTAGGTAATTGGCTTTGTATGAACGTGCGATATGTAGACGAGGTTTAGTTATGACGTTTCATACAACGTACTTGCTAGTATGTTTTTTTGGAATTTTTTTTCTTGGTTTTATCCGATTTTGCGTAGTGAGATATTTTACGGTGTATATCATTTTGGTTTCTGTTTCAGTGATTGAATTAAAAAGAAGGTAGCATATTTCTTGTGGTCGTTATCATGGTCAGAGACATTTACTGTTGATGCACACCATAATAAAACCTCTTTTCTGGTCACGGCATATACAGCATCTTTCTATGGGGAACCATTTAACAGAAAGCTTGGTTATCCCTAATGTTCGGGCTCGCGAGATTCAATTGTGATTTATGCTCCATCAAAACGGATTAAAACTACAGTAGTGTATATTTCACTATAATTATATTTGTCACTTTTCATAAACTCGTCGTTGTATTTCAGTGTTTTCCACTCTGTGAGCAATCGTGTCTCATTCTTCAACTCGAAAGAGCTAATATATTCGAATGCAGTCATCTTGTAAATGATTCATTAACTATCTGATCCCGCGACAGCATATTGTTTCCTTTTCTGGGTGGACTGATGTCTCAGTTCTCAGCTCGAAATAGAACACATATTCAAATGTAATGATCCTGCGAATGGTCCCACTAGCTGTGTGATTAGGTTATAGTGTTATTAGTGGTGTTTCTCTCTCTGTATGGAATTATGTCTCAGTACTCAACTCGAAAGCGGCGACATATTCAAATGTAATTGAACTGTGAATGATTTATTAGCTATATCATCATGCGAGAATTGTATTAATGATGTGTCTTCCTTCGCCTGGAGCAATGTTCAGAGCAAAAAAGACCAATTCGATATTCACAAATCCTATGTGCAAATCCTATGTTCTATATACTGGATATTTCCTGAATTCAAATTTGATTAAGTAACGGGGACTCTTTTCTACTTTTTATACTAATTTGAAGTACAGCAGTTGTACTATATATTTGATCTATTTTTTAGAATAGAGATGTCCATGTCACAGCTTAAAGCCGGTAAATCATAAGCTTTTCGCTTCCATTAAGGAAATTTAAATCGATTTTACACGGCTTTATCGTCTCATTAGAAAATTAGGTACTTTTGCCGTGCTGCACCAAATTAGGTAAAAATTGGGCGCTATGTTCTAAATTTTTCAGTGAATCCGACAGCGGGTTTCTTATAATTCTACTTTGACTTCTTTTCTGGTGTCGACATAATCTACGTGATTTTGCCTAATTTGGTGCAGCGCGGCAAAAGTACCTTCTAATGAATACAAAAAAAAGGAATTTGAAATAGTAAGCGAATAAAGCTATTGTACCACATACTTCAAAATAAAATTTATAGACGACGTTTAAATTACGTACTAGATTCTGACAAATATGACGAAAAAAAAGCGTAAAGATAGATAGTATGCGATAACAAGGATTTATTTCGAACATAACATAACTGTAAAAGCAACGTTACATCAATAATATTGGAGTATAAGCATGGAACAAGAAGAAGTTGATAGTTTTGATAAAACGCTAGAAAGTAAAACAAAGTCACTCGGTAAGTGACTATCGGTAAGTTGCGTACATCAATAATAGATACACAGTATGATATGGTGCAAAAATGAGAGTACTGTAATGTTTTTCATTGGGGCACCATTCATTTAACATGTCCACATAGATTAAACGAATGCTAGGGTAGGTCTTAACAAACAATATCTGCTGATAAATGGATGTCATGAATTACTGGAGGGGTAACCTAGATCGTTTTCACAAGTGATGAAGAAATTCTAAAAGTATAAGTATGTAAAGACTTTTAAAATCTGTACTTTAAGAACAGGAGTAAACTTTTGATCTTGAAAAACTCGAATCAGATTGTTTATAAGGGTGTATACTTAAGTATACATATCATTTTTTGAAATATCTACAAATAACAACAGTCTCAAATATGATTTTGGTTCCAAACAGGTATTTAGTTACTGAAAACACTTGGAAGGAAACACAGATTTTTTCCGATAGGCGTTCATCCCATAGTTGGTACACTATGGTACGTTTGAGGCATGATGCCTCAAGTGAAAAACTGAGGTGGTACATCTTCAATAATTTTTTTTCTACCATGTCAGGTTGAGTTAGAGCGATAGAGTCGAGGTTAACATTTGCAGAAATGCAAAAGCAGCCATTAGATAGTCATACTGGACTAAAAATATAATCAAGTACATTATCATCTTTAAGTCTATTTATAGCAAGTTTTAATATAACTTAGGAAACTGGAAAAACTTGAAGTTTTCAAAACGACAGATTGGGCTATATGCCTTACACCTTTAGGTGAGGATAGATGCCGCTGGTATAATATTAACTAGGTAAACGATATATAGCGGTTTTCAATCTACAATACCAAAATATAGTTAGATTTTTTGTGTACAAGATTAAGGAGCATTTTTTCGTGTACGAATGAAACTCACTTCTTCTTTTCTTCACACATAAATCGACGAAACATCACGCTTGTTCTTGTGTAAACATTACTAACGATGTTGATTCAAGAAAAAATCTTCGAGAGAGAAATCAAGTGATGAAATAATGGATACAGAAAGTGTGCAAGAAGAGCAAGAGCATTGATCACGATCAGAAGTTATTTTTGGGTTTCATCGAAAACAAACCCGCAGAACACAAAACAAAAACATCAAAAAGAGAATTGTATCTAAAATATGATTACATTTTCTTTCTTCATTCCGTAATAAGAGTCCATGTGCAGCCTTCGCCTATTTCACTTCACCTTGTTTTTTGCCTTTTTATTCACTCATCGGTAAACAAAATTTTTCTTTTCATTCTGGAATGTAGCATTATAATACTACACCACCCATTCACAAAGTGAAAAAAACACGAATCTTTTAAGGTTCTTCCACACATTTATCGATATACATTAATACGTATAAGTATATATCGCGCTTAGCTCTTTGCCTATGACACCATACACAAGTAAACACTTCAAAGATAATGAAATGGACAAATTTGAGTGAGTAGTATTGTGACATTACCAGTTTCATAATATTGTTTGGATGATAAAAATTTTACGGCTCTTTTGAGAAATGAGTACGAGTGATACCATAAAGACTGCTGTAGAATTATCTTGAATGTTAGATGTTTAGATTAAGACATGCCTGAAAGGTATCAAGAACCTCAAACAGGTGAAAAAACTATCGAACGTAAAATGCCTGAAAAAGGTGTTGTAACCTGCACCAGACTAGACAAAAATGACGCTGTTTTGATCAACTGATCATAAAATTCAATCGTCATTATAGTACATCATTCTAGAATAGATTCAAACGGACGGCATACACAATTTTGGGAAGATCAAGATAAATATATTTTTAAACATTTACTTGTTCTTCTATTATGTGTATTATCTAGTATGTTTACTACATATCTTACAAATAATTCTTATGGTAGTTATATTCCTATCATGTTAATAACCATACATGAATGGTACAAATTTTATCCACAGCAGACACGTTCATATTATGGTTTATGTAGATTATTATTATTTATATTAGTTATCAGTTTATGGATTGTATTTATATTAACTCTTATTATCGGACGCATTACTGTATTATTAGGTTATCATTATATATCAATAAAAAAAAATCAGCATTTATTTCCATATGTATTGATGTTTACTGCTTTTGTTAGAAATGAACATGATATGAATTTAAATGATAAAAGACGTTATATCATACATTTATTATATGATATACCGGCATTTTTATTAGTTATAGTATTTAAACTATTAAACAATCCATTAAATGCATTATACAGTCAAATTACTACATGTTGTTATTTAGGCTGTTTACCTACTGCGGCTGATGTACATACATTGAATAATGTAGGAATTAAATATGTTTTAAATATGTGTGCTGAATATAACGGCCCGTGTAAAACATATGAAAAATATAACATAAAGCAGCTACATTTACCAACGGTAGATTGCACAGCACCATCAGTATACACAATAGAAAGAGCAGTTAAATTTATGAATGAAGCATATGTAAATAATAAAAAAATATTTGTTCATTGTAAAGTTGGCATGGGAAGAAGTGCTGCTATTGTATTATGTCATTTGGTTGCTAATGAAAATATGTCTGCAGAAAGTGCATTAAAATTAATGAAAGAAAAAAGGCCTGAAATATCAACTAGTATCATTAAACACAAACCTGTAAAACAGTTTTTAGCCTTGTTGCCTAACGATAAAGTTCAGTAGGCTTTCCTATTGTTTTTTTATTCCTATAAAATTTATGTTTGTATTTCTTGATGAGCACCTGTACGTCCATCGTTGCAGAGCAAAATAGCTCACTTATCTTGGGCGATGGTGGAACTAGCGTTATTTTTATATGCTGTCGGAATGAAGGGGACAAAACAAAAACGAGAATATCCATATATAGCTCATATTGAATACTAATTTATCTATACTATATACTCATGAGGAAACCCTCCCCAAGTGTCCCGCCCCAAAGTTGCTTTTTCCATAAAACAGATAATTTAGGTAATTTTTGATGCTGATCAAGAATCTGACGCCCGTTTCGCGGCTGGGCCTTTCTGACGTGGATCTCTGGAATCCAGGTGTCCGAAGATCCACTGTGAACTTGCAGCTGAACATATTTTGGTTCTGCCCGGTTGTAGAGCACGTTGAGTTGCCTACGTGGGAAAACTACCAAACCAACGAACAAGTTTTCGCAGAGATAGAAAACGTTTAATATTCAAAAACCTGGAATATTTTGGTTTCCTATTGGACTGGAAAGTAAACTTTTTCTATCCCTGCGAAAACTTGTGTGTTGGTACTGAAAATGTGCCCACATACGCAATTCAAGGTGCTCTACAATCTGGCAGTGCCAAAGTTGTCCAGCTGGAAGTTCATAGTGGGTCTTCGAACACTCACATTTGAGAGATCTATCCCAGAAACGCCCAGCAGTAGAAATGGATATCAGATTTATGACTTATGGCTTTTTTTATCTTTTCGGTGAAAATAGTCTAAAATTGCGTACTTTCACCAGCATAGGCTTTCGGTCGTTTTTTAGCATTTTTCGTGAAAACAAACGTTGCTGAAGAGTCATGGTGAGTGGTTACGTACATTCCGCTCATTTTTTTAGTTACCTGAGCTCTCCCGATAAACCTCTGGTCTACCTACGAGATATTCTCTGTTTTATCTGCAACATATTATGGAGTCGAATAGAACTTTTCAAAACCAACATAAAAATGCTTCAAAAGATTTTCTGGAAATCTTCCGAAGTAAGAGAATATTTTATACTATTATCTCCTGCAGAATCTCTTTCAGCAGATAAAATAGAATATATTGATATTCTGACATAGTTTGGATCAATTCTAACTGAGTTATGAATTTTCTAATTTTACATGACAATAGTCAGGAATGGGTTATTTCATCTACTATAAGGTTTCACTACGTTTTTGAACTTTTTTCGAAAAGCAAACATCGCCGCGAGAATCAGCATACTTGAAAACCTATGTTTGCATATATTACTGATGCTCCAAACCCTAAAAATGGTCGAAACGATATATAAATTCCGAAGGTTATCAGTTTTTGCGTACTAGGAGTTCTGGAGACCCCTCTGAAGGTACTCTAAAAATCGCGAAACCACTTCCGCTGAATTCTGCATCGATCATAACCTATTTCAACTGGTTTTTATAAGTTTTGAGCGAAAAATGAATGTTTTTATTCCAAAATTATTTGAACGATTTTGAGGTGTTTCTGTTACAGGATTTCCACAGCTGACACAATAGGTGCAATCAGGTTCTAGAACACATGTCTCGACTTAGATTGTCCGAAAATTACGTTAATGAGATCAGAAAGTGAAATGGTGAGAAAATAAATGCGCTTTTATCAAAAGTCATGTTTTTGAGACCTTCTCACTATTTTGCGATATTCTCCGCAAAATCTTGGTCAAAATGGAAAAGAAGATCATATTCGAGATCAACGGATAAAACTGCATCTAGTAATGTGTTTTAAAACGAAAAACAAAACCCACTAGAACTTCCAATTACTGGTGTCTTACATGCCACTCATTTTTAGGTTATCACACTTTAAAACAAGGAGGTGACATCAGGCCTGATATTGTAGTAAAAAGGTCATGTTTTTGATTTAATTTATTTACCATTTGATAATTTTGACCTACATCTAAACAAATTATCACTTTTATAAACCTGAATAAATAAGAGTTTAACGTAAAGGCAACATATTGACGTCCTAACTGTTAAAATCAGTTCCAAGAGCATTCCTCCTCTCATTTTGAATTCTTCGTAGAAAATGCTGTCAAATTAAACTGATTAATATCAAGATTTGATATTTTAAGAGTAGATCAGAAACTCTTGCACGTATCTCAGAGTTGTAACCGGTCTGGAAATACTAGACCGATCCGGCCAGTCTAAAAATATTTCCAGACCACTAAAAACCGGCGAGTTCATCAAGTTTTTTCAAGTAATAACATTGATATTAGGGACAAAATTTGTAGTGTGTAAATGTAATAGTCTGTCTCAAGCAGTCACTTGTCGAATGACGAAACGTCACGAATAATTTGAAAATAAATTAGGGAAGAGATTCATTATGTCAAATAACAAAGCCAATTAAGACGAATTTGGGTTAGGAAGTTATGGTATCGGCATATCGAAAGTAAAAAATTAGATTAACATTAAAGAAAAAAGATAAAAGCATATAAACGCCAATACGTGACAATGTTCCGATTGCTAAGATATTTTAAACAATAAATAATATGACTTTGTCTTTGAAAACAAATTGAAAGAATAAAAAGAAAAAATTTACATTTCAAATAAAATTGTCACTCTCTCTTTCCTTTGAAAAAACTACCAAGCACTCATACATAGTATCTTTCCGATGAAAAATTAACGAATATGCACAACTTTGTGAAACCGGTGAAAACCGACCGGTCCAACTCACTCAACTGGACCGGACCAGTTACAACTCTGATGTAGTGTAGCAAGTTGCACGCCTGGTTGCTAAGAAAAAAGACACGATTTTACTAAACTGTTAAGTCTAATACCACCAAAATGATTAAGTGTTGAAGAGGCAAGAAAATTCCGTCTTTAAGTAGCGTTTCTTGAGATAGATAGAGCGCAAATTTCACCGTGTTTTACCCTGTTCCCTGTTTGGGAACACGATGTAATTCATTTCAAGTTCAGTTTCAGGTTAAGTTTAAAATAACCGCACAGCAGTCTTATTCACGCTTTCCAATTCTCTCCTTCAGTTACTGTGTATTTATTCTGAAGTTATCATTAAAACTGCGACAAAAACCGTTTCTTTTCTTTCGAAAAGAGATTTCCTTCTTTTTCCCGTGGTTCTTTCTGTTATAGAGTCAGTGTTCCTGTTGATGGCAAGTAAAATTTTCTTTTTCATAAATCTCGATTTATTCAGCCATTTTTTAAGTGATAAGAGGGAATTTTAGATTCCGGGATAGAGGAGACAATTTTCTATCTAGCTATGTAAAAAGTTTTCAAAACTAATTTAGTTTGACTTAATTACAATGATAAAAAGAAGAAGCATGTTCAATTCTTTTGCGTTCTTGCGTGTTCTCAAATATGGCAGTCAAGCGATTTTTTGTTCGTATTGATGGCAGCTCCATTAGACTATACGGCGTTTTTACCTACCGTCAGAAAATTGTAATTGCTACCCGAAGTAAAACATCACCATATGATCGTTTAACAAAACATGTTCTTCTGATTCAGGGCTACCCACACATATAAAGTAAGCCTAAATAGATGAACTTTACTGTCAAAACGGCCTACTATAACTTTTTGCTTACTTTCCACGCAAAATTAACTGTTACTACAGTTTTATGAAGTTTGATCTGCTCACAAATTTTGTGCAGCAAACTACTCTGAAATAAAGTATAAAGTTATGTTTGTGTGTGTTTTTAATATGAACGATGCTTACGAATAGGGATAGTTTAAAGGTTGCTTAATATCACTGATTTCCTTATTATCAGCATTAGATAAGATTCATCAGAATTATACAAAAGATTTGAAGCAGGTTTAGAACGTTTCTTTTACCACATTTGTGAAACATCTTCATAAATTCAGTTGATGACAGTGACCAAAGCGATAATGAAGATGTTTCACAAATGTGAAATGAAAATTGAATGAATTGAATAAACAATAAATGAAAATTACAAAAAAAATGAGGAAAAATTTCAAAAGGTTTTTTTCCAAAACTACAAGTACGGTGGCCGAAAAAATTTTACCAGATGTATTTTAAGCTGTCGTCTAGAAAGGATGGCAGAAAAATGAGGGACAGGACTTTCTTTTTTACTAAGGCTAACGCTGAGTTTCTAAAACTTTAAAGACTCATTTGCAATCCAAGGAGATGGTCTCTACAACCTACGTTTGATTCAGTTTTTATGCTGATCTTTGTGGTGTGTCGAGAAAACTTTTATCGCTATGCTAAAAGGCGATATTTTAAAGTTAAGAAAAACTCCAGTTTAAATTTTTAAAATTTAATTTAAAAATTAGATTTACCAAAATGCAATTTAAAGAGTCTTCTTTCGATTCATCCGATCAGAATATTTTTATATACACACGTAAAGAGAAAGAGAACAAAAGTGTAAGAGTTATTGTAATTAAGTAAACAAGACATTGAAACGAAAACGAAAAGTAAAAATATGCATAAATAAAATTTCGAACAGATTTGGAAAAAAAGATCATTCGAGAGTGCAACAATCGAAAAACTAACTCCAGCCGTTCCATCTACCGCTGTTGCACTCTCGAATGATCTTTTTTCCAAATCTGTACGATTAGTAATAGCTCAGGACGAGTGGCTGGCTCGAAGCAGAAAGTAGGTCTAGAAGAAGGAAGAATTTTTTACAGTGAAACAGAATAAGCCTCTTCGAGTTTCACTCGATCGGCTTAAAAAACAAAAGAATATTATCATCAACGGCCATTTTTGGCAAACGTGTATTTTAGTGAAAAAAACGTTCTCGGGATTTAACGGGATTGTAATTAAACGTACGGGACGGGATAGGGATTGGAGAAAAGACTTTTTCGGGATCGGGATAGGGACGAAAAAGATCGATCCCACAGGGCTCTAACCACAGTCCTCTTTTGTTGCTTGATTACACAACAGAAATCACATCAAATGGCAATTCTAGAGCATAGAAGCAAAGAAAAAAGAAAATATAGTTGAACTATAGAGATCAGATGCACAGCAACAATTAAAACATTTTTCATTGTTCAAAACCGAGGCACCTCAACAGCTCACCTTCGGTGCGGCAGTTAATGGAACGAGAAAAAGAAGCATAAACTCCATGCACTGTTTATAATTTTCGGAAAGAAAAAAGACTGCAAATCGAAGTGTCATTAGTGCGCATTGTCACGTCGTGTTTTCATCACTCTGTCGTATAGCCTTTCGGTGTTCACTATGTTAGAATGAAAGTCGACTTTTCATCAATTCCAATAGTGATCAATAGACTCCAGGACATGCTCTATCTGATGGCATAAACATCTTAGTACAAAAAATAACTGCTCTTGTGAAGTTGAGGGACTTTTGTCAATTTCATATTAACAATTTTCAGGAAAATTTAGATATATTGCTCTTCAAACTTATGAATTAGAGTCTACTTTATTACATTCTTTGGTTTTTAGAAGTGAAGCTATGCAACCTCAGGCTCAAAGCATGCCTTCATTGTTTCATAATAGGTGTTGTATTAAACCCTAAGTCCAAAAACTATTAAATTTCTTGTGCTACGCATCCAAAAACAAATCGAACTTGAGATTTTCAATTATATCTCCAAATAGTGTATATGTCAGACTATATTTGGTGAAATTTTGACGATGAGGGTGAGGTCTCTTTGTTTTCAAAAGGCTAAATGATGGCGGCACGTTAGGCGAAATGAGATTATTCCCGTCAGTAGCGAGCGGTGCAGAGCAAGGCCTTCAGCTGTTTCAGAATCAGTCAGATGATTCAACTGTTTCAGCATCAGATATCCAACGACTAGCAAACGATAATTCGATGAGCCGGTCAGCTTTGATGGTGTGTTATCAGACAGCCTCAAGTCAGAATTCCAAAATCTAGTGATGGTTCAACAAGACATGAGAGGTATCATCTAGTTACGATGCAACGATGTCACCTCATAGCTGCATATATGTCTTTATGTATTGTGAAGAAAGTAATAAAAAATAGAAAATGAAACAAAAATAATAATAAGATAAAAGAATTTTATTGTTGTTTTTGATAACAGAGGCAAAAGTAACTTATCGACTATAAAAGGATGAAAAATACCAAGACGTTATTGCATGGCAGAAGAAGGATAAATACCTACGAAAAGCAATAAAAGATTGTGATCGTTATACTTCTATATAGGCATTGCAACATGATATCTACGACAACAAAATACCTTCGTAAATCTTTATGCACTTTCAAATAAGAAGAAATTATTTGACAGAATAAAATTTAAGAACCAATGCGGCTATCATGTTAAGAAATTTTAATAAAAGTTTTAATAAAAAAGAATTAAAATTAAAAAGATTACAACTAAAAATTAAAATTACAATTCGATATTTCGACCTATTAATACGGTCATTTTCAAGTTGCTCTTCGTACAGAATGTTACATAAAAATGAAAACAAATAAACTGACTATATATATCGAGTGTAGAGAGGATCTTCTCTGATAGTATGTGTGCCTAGATTAAAAAGGAAAAATACTCGATATATATAGTCAATTTATTTGTTCTCATTTTTATGTAGCATTCTGTACGAAGAGCAACTTGAAAATGGCCGTATTAATAGGTCGAAATATCGAATTGTAATTTTAGTTTTAACTTTTTTTATTTTAATTTTTTTTATTAAAGCTTTTATTCAAATTTCTCAACATGGTAGTCGCATTGGTTCTTAAATTTTCTTTTTTAACCTTGCCGATCAACTCTGAAAACGCTATTTATTTGACAGAAACTGTTACTTTATCAAAAAAGTAAATGGGATAATATGTCTCCGGTGGCACTTCTATTTTTAATCGGTCTTTTTTTAATATCGTGTGTTCCAATTGTTACATCCGTTCAATGTTATACATGCTTTCAAGATTATCAGCTACCGGTCGCAACATTACCACTGACAACTGACACCTTAGAAGCATTTGTACCGTTTAATTGTTATACGATTTTAACACCAAATAATGAAGATAGTTGTCAGTTTGGATTTACGGTCATTGTTTGGCCGCACGATCTAACACGGGGTATGAGTATTTGGACCTCTTTGGACGGAACTAGTCGTGTTTCGGGAAATGAGTCGTTCACTGGTGTACATAAAGCTACGATTATACTTTCATCTGGCGTTTTCACTGTCAGTGGCAGTTATAACGGTAATTATATTATATTTATCACGTACGAATGTCCGACAGATAGATGCAATAGTTGGCAGAATATGAAAACTGTGATAAGCGCATCCACTATAAAATTTGATTACAATTCAGTCATGACACAGCTCTATGCCTTAACTTCTAATCAAACTGTGATTCCATGTCTTATATATTCGAATGTTCCATCAGCATCAGACTGCTCCTGCCAACAACCAACGTCGTCATTACCATGCAAAACATGTTTAGTACAAACGTGCGACAAATATCCCTGTGCTGAGTGCAGTCCGTATTCATCCAATTCGGCTGAACTTATCCATAATTTAACCTATGACTTTATTGGTAAAAAGAACTCAATGCGTCTGGAGTATACTTGTAATAAACCAAATTGTAATAGCTTTGAAAAACAATCGGAAATTAAATCATTGTATACAATAAGACTTGACTTAGGTGGCGGAGATAGCAGCAATGACAGCGTGATGTTGACAGTCAAAAGTATAGACAAAATGTGTCTACTTCTACTATGTTATTTCATTTTTGTCTTTACCATAACGAATGATTGGAAATTTTAACGTCTTGTAAAAATTAAAACTTCAGCTAATGCACTTTGAATTAATTAATCTATGCTTCCAGAATTCTTTTTCATATTCTTAGGTCTTATGCTTTGTCTTTTCACTGCAACGATCGGCTCATGAAGATAACTTTTCTCATCTGTTAATAGTTTACAACGGAACAATACTGTGTACAACCTATTAGCAAAAACATTGATTAGTGGCACGGCGTAGCCAAGATTTTCGTTTAGAGGGGCCAAAGTGTCTATTATTGGATAAAACAAGGAACGAAAGGAAAAAGAAGTAAAAATATGTTGAATCTATTATTGTATCAATGAAAAATCTGCCAACATATGTAAAGACTTTTCTCAACAACTTATAAACATCTGGTATAGTTATCAGCTATGCATCGACATGTTTCAGCAGCTAAATTTCCACTAGTATCGATTTTATCATAAACATCCTAATCACGTAGTTGAAGTATTCGAACATATACCACGAAAGACCCATATAATTAATTATATCACGTTTTGAATGGCGATTGTTGTACATGAAAACTTGATCTTTTTCGAGTATGCTTGCCCTTTCTGGGAAGAGGAATTAGCAAAATTTCTGTAAAGCATATTAAAAGAAACTTCTTAACTTACATTTAGAATAGTAGTTATTTGTGATTTTGTGTTTCGTCGAGGAAGTGACAGTGGAAGCAGAGGGACGAAATGGTTAGGAACCCATTCGTTTCCGTCACTATACTTCCTGACATCGGGTTTACTTAAAGCATGTGTCCACAAAAGTGTTATTGTCCTATTCTTGTGAGTGTTATTAACAGGCGTTGGAGTATATTTTAGACGATATGCATCTGTTGCCAGAGACGTGCCAATATTTGAAAAAATAGATTGAATTTGCCATTGAAGGACGTTACATAGTTGAGATATTGTGTCTATTATGCAAACGAGTATCTAAAAACTTCAATGGTGTAAAATCTAATGTTGGTAATGGTGGAGTTAGCTCTTTTATTTGTTCACAAATCCCGGAAATTTGCTGAAAATGGGCTATGTCTGTAATAGTTTATCATCTACAATATGTCAACTAAGTTTGTCAGAAATCGCCCAGTTGGGGATTTCTGACAAATTTGGTATTCACAAGCTTTATCTTTATATACATTTAGATAAACCAGCTAAAAAACGATTTATTGCAGCTGCTTCTTTGAAGACACCTGATCCACATGCTACGGACTTCAGAAAATTATTTAAAAAGGATATTATTGAATTGGTTGAACAGCGCAATACAATATGTCTAGTAAAACATACCTGTCGAATGCGCTTTCCCAAACTACTAGTGTTGTTATCAAGCATAGATATTAAAACTGGATATATATACATGAAGCGATCTCACGCTTGGATCAATAATTTTAATGAATGGCTTATAAGCGCATGTCGCTGTAACATGGATATAAAATTCATCTGGTCGGGCTCAGATACTAAAGCACTCGTTTATTACATAACAGATTACGTTACCAAGTCAAGTCTTTCTTTCTACGATACTTTTGCACTTGTTCATAAAGCCGCACAATCGTATGATAAAGAAATTATAGCTGGCTTCACTGATGATTTTGATGAAAGGTCACGAAAACTTGTTTTGCGCTGTTATAATACTATTACATCTCAGCAAGAGTTGTTCTCGGAATGCAAAAGTATTTTTTATGGGTTTTTCAGAGATCCGGTTTCCAGAAAACCCACAAGGAATTACTTTTGAGTACTGAAAATCTCATCGTTAGAAAGAGCATATTCGAAAACCTATAGAAGAACGTGTTTATAGGCTTTCATACCACTCCTACAGCATATGTCCGCCTGCTCTATAGAAAAATGTTCACTGTGGCATATGAGGGTTTAAGCGTAATAGTTAAGAATAATTTACAAGAAGATAAACGGGGAGAATTATGTGCAGAAACGGAATGAGAAAGAAAAGTGGAAAAGTTACTAAAAAATACAAGAAGCATAGTGAGTTAAATGATGATGGTAATCCTGACATAGAAAATTTGACAAAACAACAACAAAAAAATTAAACGCTCGTATGAAATTATTCTAACGAAGTTTGAGAATAGTACTATAAAACCGCTGCTAAGACAATTAGCAGAAGAACAGTTGAACATTTTTTATTATGTTCGAAATTGGTGTCTAAATAAAAAGTTCAATGGAACTGTTGAACCAATTCGTTTATTTACTACTGGTGGTGCAGGCACAGGGAAAACATATCTGTCGAAGTGTATGTATTATGAAGCGAGTAAAATTCTTACTCATGCAAATAATAAAATTGCAGAAGAAATTCGTACACTGATTTGTACTTCTACAAATACAACTGCATTAAACACAAATTCGGATACTATTCATGCTAATTTTATGATAGGCGAACAAATGAGTGCTATAAGCGAAAGTCAAATGAACACTCTTATCAAAATTAGACGGCTTAATGATTGTTTTTATTGATCAAGTTTCTTTAATTAATCAGAGTTTATGGAAAGAGTTTTATGCACACCTGGGTCAGATAATGTAGAGTTCAGGAGCCAAAATTCACTTTGGAAATATTTCTGTGGTTGCAATAGGTGACTTTTATCAACTTCCATCTGTTTTTGGTTCACCTCTCTATGTGACAAATAGTATTATCGATTATTGGACCTATCTTTTTGAATATTCTGAACTGACGGTATGTCAGCGAACAAAGGATGCAGAATATTACGCTATGTGTAACAGATTACGGAAAAGAAAGAAAGGCGAAGCATTCACGAAAGAAGATGAGCAAATGATGCAAGGGTGTGTACAAAGGTACATTGAGAAAAAGTACGACAAAGAATCAACTCACTTATTTTCTTGGAATAAATTTGTCGATGATCACAATGAAAAAATGTTGACAGATATATGCGAAAATGTGCTAAATATTCCATCACGAAGAATGAGAACGAAAGTTAGGAATTATCCTTATTCTACTAATAGAAACAAAAAGAATGATTTAGCGGAAAAAAAATCAAAATTGAGTAGTTTTAAAATGTTTAGAGTAGCTGTGACCGAAAATATTTGTAAATTTGACAAAATAGAAAAAAGTGCTTTCGGTATTGTGGTGGATTGGAAATAATCATGTATTCGAACACAGCAATTGTCGATAAAATACGAGTAAAATTTGACAATCCTGATTGTAGCTTAAAACATCAAGCGATTTGTGCAAGTTGTAAAAAAGATAAAACAGTTTGTATTGAACACTACAATAACCGTTTTGAGAAAAATGAAAGCAAAAAAAGTGACGAGCAATTTCCTCTACGTTTAGGATGGGCGTTTACTGTACATAAAGTTCAAGGACTAACTGAGCAAGAAGTTATAATAAACCCGATGAACTATTCTAAAACTGGTCAGCTATACAGCTATTACACGACCTACATCTATCGCAAGAGTTCTGTTAACTGATTTCATATCAGACGCGTTTTTTTCCGATGGATGAACGATAAAACAGAACTCCCGCTTTTGAATACGCATACTTATTTTGGAATTAATCGTTCACACTCTTATTTAGACGCGTAAACCTCGACAGGAGACAGAGGAGGAGTTGGAATGTATATAAGAAAAGACACGCAGGCATCACTGCTGACGCTTCCTGTGTGTGATATCGAGTTCATTTGTGGGAAACTGGCTATAAATGGAAATGACTATATAATAGCAACGTTTTACAAAACGCCAAGCAGTTCTTCAAATGTTTTTGTGAACACTAATTTAAACACTATTCTAAATGAAATTGATAAATACAATTGCTCGGCTATAATTGCCGGAGATTTCAATGAAAAGCGTAATGATGCAACTGAACCAAATCGAAATTTTTTTCGCAGAAAAAGGCTGCGAATCTCTCGTTTCGAAAGAACTACTAAAGGCAATACCTCGCTTGATTGGCTGTTTACAAAAGATAAAAACGTCTCACAATAGAAAGTGTCAATCATATCAGCTTATTACAGTTATCATGATTTAATGCTCGAATTGTTTGATGCTAATGTTGATTTCTCAGAATCAGAAATGCTGCTTGTCCACGAGGCCATGTCAGAGACAGTTGATTTCTGCCGTTGATTGAAACGGCAGAAAAAGATGGAAAGTGAGGATGAAATCCGATTGAGACTGATTGAACAGATGTATAAAAAGCAGAATGATAGATGTTATAAAGATCAAGATATTTTTAGTTTACTACAACATGTTGTTGAGAGGAATACCCAGTTTCGGACTGCAAATAAGCGTCACGTTTATACATTTGCACCATTGCTTGGCACACGAACGCAAAACGGACAGGATCATGAAGTAATAATTATGTTTACTAATTATGGACAGTTATCATGAATTACTATAGATTATATTAACGGCGATGACCACCTATCAACAACAACAGTTAACAGACACGTCCATCGCAAATGTCAATGAATTGCTAATTCCAATCAACTTAAACAGAGATCATTGGGTATTAGCCGTGGTTGCCTATGCTAGAGTTCATGAACCGTGTATTAGAATCTATTACAACTATCATTAGGCCACTCAGTTCCTCAAGATGTACGAATGGCATCTAGTTTGTAATGACTTTCTTTTGTTTATTTGCTTAATAAGAATAATAAAATAAAACAGATGTATGTACTTGTCTGTGTCAATGATTGGACTACAGTGGAAGATTCAGACCAGCTCTGACGAAAATTCTAACCTATTGTACTTGTGAGTGGTGGTTGTTTATATTGATAAACATTGACACCTGACCAACAGCCAGTTAAGAGTTTACCACCAGAATAATGCCAAGTGTGAAATTCTTTTCTCATTACAAAAAAGAGGTTAGCTAAAGTAGGATAAGTTTTGGTTTCGCTGACTTGATACATTTTAAAGTTTGCATCATGAACATAATTCACAGCATCAGCAGTCATCGCAGGTGGAACGGAATCTGTGTACACGACGGTGCCATCAGGAAAAGCTAAATACGAGAAAAATAAAAGAAAAAAATAAGAGACAAGATCGATAGATTCAGATAATGACGAAAATGTAGACGATGAAGTGTTTGGAGACGAACAAGATGAAGAGAAAGAGAAAAGGTTCTTTTACGCGGATTTCCATAAGGACATTTGACTCCTTCTCCCCAAGGTCCTTTATAATCTTGAGGACCTTGTTTTTGACTTAAACCAAATTGAGCAAAATCTAAAATGGAAGTCCAAACTTCAGATTGAAAAGCAGGAGCAGCAATAGATTTTAAACCACTTGCTTCTTGTTTCTTGCTGTTGATCTTGCTCTTGGCTGTTATCGTTTTGTTCAGCGAGTTGTAATTCATTTAGAACCTGCTGTTCTGTTGAGTAAGGCTGCCTTCCTAAACAAGAAAAAATGGAGATTTTATTTGTGCATATTCGTTGTTCGGAAGAAGCAGAAGAATTAAAGGAAATAGAAAACAAGGACGAGAAGAGGAACAAACAGATAATAACTCGCACTCTTGTTGTCGTTATGGAAAAGATGTCTTTTCGTGTATTGGATTAGATTGTTTTATGAACAAAATATATCGAACAACACAAAACAGAATCCGTAGAAAAGAGCGAAAAAGAGAGAAAAAAGAAACAAACAGACTGGTTCCGACGTTGAAGCGATGTTTCGGGTTAGCAATCATCACACTTTTTGCAAGTATTAATAAATGGGAAATAAGGATGAGAAAGCATGTTGAGATTACGTATGAATGATTTTATATTGTAGGCAGAGGGTCGGCTGCTCTGAAGATCGTTTATCTTTGTCTTCCAAACGGGAGAAAAGGAACTATTAAGTCAAGAAAAATTTTGATTTTGGATACTTTTGACTGTAGAGCCCTACTGACTTGACCTTTGTGACCACGAACCTAACAGAATTATTTTTTATTGAATGATGATAAAAGTGACGTTGTATTATATTGTTGGAAAGAAGTTCAAAAAACATCACAGCTATGGCATCAATTGTAGAAGAAATTTTAGCAATACCTGCCGCAAACACATCAATTGAACCTTCATTTTCTTCATCCACAAAAAAGTTATAGGTCGTCGTACAAGTTTAGGTTGTGAAAAGCTAAATTAACTGTTGTTTCTAAAAAGGAATTCCTATTAGTTAAAACAAACCTGTAGTAAAAATATAATAAATGACCCCGAGGTTTAAAAAATTGACAAAAAAAGTTTATTTTGCGTTTTCAACGACGGAAAAACGCGTTGAATGTTTCAAGATCAACGCATTTTTATTGCTATTTAAACACGTATCTCCTTGACTTGTTCGTTTAAAAAGTCGACGGAATTTCACAGCGCGTTAGACAGCTTGTGTTTCAATGAATGTGACCAACAATGAAAACCTTAAATAACGAGTTTCGAAATGCTTCAGAAATAATAACAATAGGCGAATATGGAGGTCTGAAGCGTCAAACTTTTGTTTCAGCAGTTTCGAACTTTTCCCATTTGGCTGTATCCACTTGCTGTCGGATTTTCCGACATCCAATTGATGGAGAGCATTAGAATGAGTAATTAGCGGCTCGTAGACAGAAAAGTTTTTTGATTTCAATATAAATTGCATAGAACTACAATGCAAATTCTTCTTGATGGTCAGTACGCATCAGAAAGACTTTTTATCTGTTCATAATGAATGCATATATATTGTAGTCATGTTTATTGGAGTCTTTTGTTCCTTTGAAGAGTTTTGCGGAACTTCAATGTAGCCACATCTAGCATATCAGTGTGGGGAGCTATCCGAATCCTAGAAGTTAACCGCGCCTGTTTGCTTAGTCTAAGCTCAGATTTGATAAGACGATTGCCTGTCGAAGTTATCTAGCGATCCACTTATTAGGTTCAACTCCTTGAAACGCACTGTCTAGTATCCCAGACAAAAAAAAAACGCGTTTAAAAACACACAGTTAAAACAAGTTTTCCAATAATACGTTTGGACGATTATTTTAAGGTCATTAACAAACGTGTTCTCAAAAGACGCGTTGCTGCGACGTTTGTAACAAGAAAAAACGCATTTAAACGGCTTTTGTAACAATCGTTTTCCAGCCCGTTTTTGCACCGTTTCTAAGGATTTTTTTACCAAGAATGCTGAAGAAAAAATGAAAACAATCAAAAACAGGAGATGAACAGTGTACAATAAAAACAGCTAATGATTATGGGTTTTTGACACATCGTATTAATGAAGAAGATTGGATTTTTCTCTTCAGCTTTTTATTTTATTTATTAAGAGTATTCATGGCGACGAAACTGACTCATTTCAGACGATTAATCGGGGTTGCAGAAAATCGGCGATTAATGCTTTTTTTTGTTCACTATTTTGCTTTGCATAACATTGAACTTTAAATAATAGCAACGTATTTGTCATTTGACTTGTGACTTACTGTAGCCATGTGAACCTATATACGCCTGGCTTATGGTCGATAACAACGCTGAGGCAGTAATACAACGGATGAAAAAAGTAGAAAACATTTTTAAGCAAGGTTCGAATCGAACTCATTCTTTCATATGACGTGGACAAATCCTAGATGTATTTCTATACACCATAAATTAAAATCAGCGATTTATGACGAATAATCGCATGATTAATTTGCCTGAGAAACCGGTAGTAATCGGTGATTTTTACATCGGCAGATGCAAGAATAGCTAATCGTTTTGTTCTTTGTTCCTATTGAAAACAGAGATTTCTGTAGTAAATAAGCGGATGTTTCCGTGGAAAACAAAATTGAAAATTTTCGGGTTTTTTGAAAAATGTTCTCAAATTCAAACCCCAAAAATGTTTTTTTGAACCCCAATTTAGATCCGTTCGGATCAAATTCACGGGGTTCTATCGGGTTGTCAAAACTGCCCGAAATATTTCTGTTTTGGTCAGTATGGACTGTCGAGTTTTGCAACTGCAACAATTTGGAGTATCTTATGACCGATGTTTGAGCTGTTCGAATTTTTCTATGGATGGATGACTCATCGAAAAATATGTACTTTCAAAATTTTGCCTCTATTGTAGTTTCAAAGGTTAGATTACAGAGCCTGCGGCGTATCTTTAGGTAAAATCAAACTTGTCGTTACTGGAAATCAATTCAGACGCAGAACTATAAGTCTCTCTACAGATATCAGTCTTCCGAGTGGAATGGAGAAAAAATATGTCACCCACAGGACTTCTTTAGAATCATACTAAAGTTCACTAGACCTAACGAGCTGTGCCCTGCTATATTTGAAGTCAAGTTTGACGTACCAAGTTTGTTGTCTTGAAAGGTGTCAGTGAAATTCGATACCACACACTTATGAGCCCTAAGGGCGAAACAGTTGCACGTGTGAGGGTAAGCGATGCAGTTACAATATGACCCTACTACGCATGCTCTTTTTCTAATTAATAACAGACAAACATTTACCTTGATCACCGCCAAAATATTTTTCTGATATTACAACTGAAATAACTGAAGTTAATAGTAGTAGATAATAAAAGCATGTGTTGCCCATAATTTGGTTTTTGTGAAAAGGAGAGAAGAAATAAAAATGCAAATAAAAAAAACGTTTTCCAAATTAAGACCAACTTCTTTCTGTTGCTGATTTCAGAGAAGTACGTAGGTAGAAGAATGCGATTAAATTTAATTTATTAGCAGCTGTTGTTTCACAAGGGTGTAAGAACAGGTGTGATAAGAAGCATGATGCTTATTCAAAACATTTTAAGAACCATAATCTTAAAAAGAAAACAAAATACCGCAGAATAAAGAAGAGAAAGTGGTTGTTTGAATGGCTCATAATTAATCGAATTAAAACGGTCTTATCAACAAGATTCCAAACGAAACCGAGTATAATATCAGATTCCATTTTGATCGATTTATTGTTAGATTCAATTTACTGATTAATATGAATAATAAGTCCTTCTGATACAATGTCTAATTGTTCAATGTCATTTTTGTTGAAATATTTCATAGTTGCTTTCGTATTTATTATTAACAGAATCTATAAAATTCTGTCAATAATTCTCTGTGTGGATTATTATTCAATGAATATTTTAGATATTTGATTATTAGAGATGAATCGAAAAGTTTTAAAGAGTAACTAGATATTTGACATTTTTAAATCATTTTCAAACAAAGATTTATTGACATTAACACATTTTCCTCTTTTAGAATCACTAGCGACAACATAAAGCTTAGTAGTATATCATAAGACGTGTTTACCAATTGAACAAGTATATTTGAAAATTTAACTAAAATTGTATAGATTAGACTCAGCAATGTTTCTTCTTTTTATTCATTTAGCAAAATTTCACATTGATTTATTAGTTAATCGCATAATTGTTCTATATTTTCTTCTTCATTTTCTGTATAATTTATCAAAAAGTTCTCTTGTTCAACAGTTTTTGATTCCTATAACTTCATACCGTCTGGCATGTTTTGTCTGATTTTGTAACTAATTCAAAAGACTACAAACAAAAAGCATGTCCTTTGTTAACATAGAAAGGAGACAGACATAGCGTTAAAATATTACTGATTATAGTCTTGAACGCTCAATTAGACATGTAACATGTCTAATTGAAAAATTATCCGGTGTTTTGTAACTGTGTGTGAGCTGATTTTATTTTGAATACGAGTCAAAAGTTGTATGATCAAAATTTGTATTTATTCTTTTCTTATGCTCTTTGTTGTTGTGTCTCTGTCTTTTTTGTAAGATGAGCTGAATCGAATAGTGAATAGTGCAGATATAATCTTTGTTAGAAATAAAGTTATAGACATTTTACACTCTCAGCGGTTTTATAAAGGCCCCGGTTTTCCAGACAATCTGATAACCTTAGAATTCATTCTCAAATGTTTTTAGTCGCTCCCTTAGACAGTTTTCTACAAAACGAGATATCGGCCAAGGTTTTAAGATGTACTATCAAAAAATACCACAGAAAATATGATGTGGATAAAAAAAATAACAGCGGAAAGAAATGCATAATTTTTTGCTCTTTTCGTTCTACTACATAAATCACACTACGTGACATTTAAACATTTGTTAGCGATAAAGTCGTGTTTCGCCAATTTCAACTTTCGCCAACAGACATTCGCCATACTGGCGATTGGCGATGTCTCGTGGCTGTGCTAGTGGTTTAATTTTCTCCCAGGTAATCATTTTTCTTCTAGCTAAAGTGTTAGATACTACAAGATTGGCTCTATAAAACTGTCAAAGTAGAAGTTTGGGATATCTGAACGTTCATAAAATATTCGCTTCGGAAAATACTGTAGAAAATCTCGGAAAAATCCATTTAGTGGGAAATTCTTTTTCTTACTGGGATAGATAGAGTAGATAATTATTTTCAAAATATGACGTCTCTGAGCTCTCTATGATCTTTCGTTCAAAAGATATACTAGTCGCAAAAAATTTTGTTTTTCCACGTTAAAAATCTGTTTGTTAAGAGCGTAGCAAACTGGAAAGAGAATATCTTTCTATATCACTAGACCACATTACAGATGCTTTGAGCACATAGCAAAAACGGCAGATGTTTCATTTTTCTAATTAAATGACTTCAGTTTCGCAATTTTTCCCTGAGAAAAAATAGTGACGGACGGCAATGTACTTTTTATTTAAGACAATTGGAAAAGAAAAAACATTATATTGACATATATAAGACGAATACATTAAACGCATACATATACATTTGAGACGAGCAAAATAGAAGATTTTCTATTTTCATTGGACTTGAACCGGTATTGTTTGCTCAGCAAAAAACAAACCGTCAATTAATCACGGTTAACCAGAAATAATTGGACAACTAAGTGGTTAACCGCGATTAATCGACGGTTTGGCGGTTAATTGCAATTAACCGGATGGTTAAGCGCACACTTAACCGGATGGTTAATCGCGGTTAATTGGCGGTTTTTTGCCGGTTTGATAAACGTGGGGAACAACTTATGTACAACACAAAATAATCAAAAAAATGTTACGAGACACCATTTTCGAAACAACTATCGTTCAAAAAACTTCTCAATGACGATTTTCTACGATTTACAAATTCTTTCAACTCTTTACTGTATGTTGGCGATGGCAGAACGAATATGACAAAAGTATCCAAAAGGGGAACAAATGAAATCAAATAGCTTACCAAATACAAATACTTTTGCCACTGAAATCTCACACGGGCGAGTGCAAACGAGAGAATCAGACGAGGAAATTCCAGAATAATAAGTGCAATCGGACTTATGACAAATGGTTTATAGTACACAAATTGTTCTCGTACGATTTTAGAAAATCGTTTGTCGGCGGTATTCAGCTCTGATGTAGCCTTTCTACGAGATAAACTAATTATCAGAACAACTGTTGATGAGACATTAATGAGGAATGGAACAACCAAATGGATGATAATTGTTACAATTTCATACTATTCTAACCATTTGCTTTGAAACTGCATTATACACCTTGAATGTCCATTCACTCTAGGATCATCAATCAAGTGACGATTGAATATTTCATGAATAACGCTGACGACATTCAACAAAACAACAATGACCACCACGTATTTTGCCACCTTTCTGCTCAATCTTTTATCGAAATTAACTCTTTTTACAACCATCATTGCGCGTTCAATAGCAATACAAGCTGTTAACCAATCGAATGTCAGCAAAAGAATAATGAGAAGAGATTCAAGTACAATGCAAGCACCCAATGTCAATTTTGTATTTTGTGCAACTGACATATGACGGATCACCAAGTAGATATATCTTGCACCGAAAGCAATCAGACCCATCTGACATATGATCGACAAAGGCATCAAGTAAAAACCGCAGCCGAGTTCTTGGGTTTGCGGTTGAGAAGAAGTGATTATCGATAGTGTGTTACACACAAGGCCAATAGTGATCATTAGAATGACAACGGCGAGTATCATTTTGGTTATGATTGACTATTCGCTTAAAGATTTATCTGGATAGAGATCTGGTCCGATGAGTGCATCTAACGATATGGAATATATTGTTATTGTAAATTGGCATAGTTGGCCATAGAAGCAAGGTTGACAAACACAACCGAAATCGTCTATTGGCTGTTTTTGTACCGGTTCAACACAATGACCACCATTTTGACAGTAACCTTTATCTGTACAATTGCCGGCTGAATGATCAAATAGGAAATATTCCATATGAGCATTACCATCGCAAAGGCACATGTGTAATCCATCAAAAAAACATTTTGTACCAAGTTTAAAGCAAGCTGGCCGATAAAATTTGATACATTTCATATAAGAAAACTCCATAATTGTTCTGTTGTTCAATAATTCTCCAACATATGGACAATGATTTGATGTTAAAATCTTCGTTTCGACTGTATTTACAGATTGCAACAACACAGCAACCATATAATAGTCACCAAAAGCACTTTTTGTATTAAGAAATAGTTGGACAAAAACGAATTTAGGCAAGTAACTTTCATGTTCATGTAGAAGCTTTTATGTTTGTTCCAAACAAAACATTCTCATACTTAAAACGATCTACGATAACCATTATACCGGTATTAGCACGAAGATCGACCAAATGAACAACAATGAGTGGCATGCGAGGAACGGACGGATCATTGAGTACATCAGCCATATCAATAATCGAACTGGCTGCTGAATATTGACAGACATCACCAAAATAATCTCTGGTACAAATACAAATATATTTTTGTGATGTTCTTAGATCAAAGGGAAAACAAGTGCCATCATGATGACAAACAATCTCTTGACAAGGATCAAACAGAGCATTGCAACCAACACCATATCTGTCCAATGGACAAATATATTTGGAATAGATCAGTTTTGATTTGTTTGAACGTTTTAATATCGATGGTATATCATAGTGTTATCCTGACCAGCCGTCATCGCACAAACAATATTGTTTATTGACCAAATTTAAATATGGCATACAAACACCGTGTAAACAGTCCATAGAACAAGGAACACTTGTACTTGATTTGTCGACATTGATTTTTACAGTTAAACGATTGACCGACAAAAATCAAGAACGAATAGGAAAATACTATAATCACATAAAATTGATATCTTTAGTTGTACAAGAAAATGCCATAATGCGTACCGAATAATTCGTAACTGTTGACCTTGTACAGACAAGATATACAGCATATTTCAAAGATTTATGCATATATGGTACATGAACAATTTCCTCGCAGGAAATTACATTATTAGTATTTTCGATCCAAAGGCAAATAAGGAATCGTAAAATAGAGTGACTGAATATGCCCGATGCTTTGATTTTAAGATGAACTGTTAGACGTTTACTTTGATATTCACAAAATGTACCATACAATGATGGCGAACAAAGACATTCTTGAATACCATTTGACATGATTACAATTCCTCAATTACAATAGTACGAGTCATTTACATTCAATGGAATTGCGACAGGTTCTTGTACCGATGATGATGATGTCAATTCTTTCACACTTTCGTAAACAGTCAATGGTGGATAGTGATAAAAGCCGAGAAACGAAAAAGGATAATAATTTCGTAGAGGGTAAATATGACAAAAGTATGTAGTACCATCACATATCAATCGTTTAGTACAAAGTTCACTTTTCGGCCAACGTTCGTATTTCCCGTAGGCCCATACTTATCTATCACTTCGCACGCAAGCATTCCTGGTGCACAATTGATGGCATTCTTTCTCCACGGAAACAAATATTCATTATCATTTAATGGACGATTTTCAAGACCATCGCATATATCTTCTAACCCAATACACTGAGCTATTCCAACATCGAAATGGACGAGTAATTTCTAATGGATATTCTAGTGGACAATGATTCATCCGCTCGTCAGTAGCACCCACACAATCAACAATACCATCATTCATCCGATGAGCATCGATATAACTGATCTACGTTTGATTGAATTCATAACAAGAAAATATATTTTTAGGACCTCAGGGTCATGTATAAAAGACGTCTGTTACTGCTCCACTTCTGAGATCATTTTCTATTGCGATAGCGCCTTTTTTACCCTTTTGCTTGGAAAGCGGGTAGTACAGAATCATAAGGACTTTGTACAGAAGCATAAAACAGCTGCTCAATTGCAGCGCAAAAGAGAACTGAGAAACGCGCATGTGTTGCTAGAAAAAAGAAGTTCGGAACTCGTTTCCTATAGAATGCTTCTTGTGTGTGGTAGTAATCGTCACAAGGAGAAAAAAAATGAAAGTATGGTACTATCGCACACCTAAGGGTATTTGTAAGCTACGCTCCCACCCACACCCACCCCCAAACTAAATTTTAATTACATGGTTGGATAGAGGATGCCGAGTTGTCTTCACACCGACCCATATTTTTTCTGTTTTAGCTTTGCTGGACGACTTGTCTGGCTAACGGTCCCCTTTTTTCACTCATTTTCAAAGAATCGTTGCAATAAAGCTAGAAACAATAAAGCTAGTGCAATAAAGCTAGGAACCCATTTCAAATTCGAAATAGATGATCTAGTAGCATAAATATTTCTCTACAAAATGAGAAATGTCTCGACTCTGAAAGCTGATTAGTTATGAAAATACAGTTATTTTATAACGAGCCCAAAAAGTCTATTTTGGGGCTATTTGAAAAGGGTTTTGAAAGGGTGAAGACGATTGAGCAAATATTCTTAAAGCATACCACTTTGTAGAGAATTGTTTGCTCCACAAGATATGAGAGTTCTTAAAGTTGGAAACTGTCTTAATTAATCTTCATTAATAAAAGAAAAACAAAGAAAATGGTAACGCACTCACATTTTTTGCCATTTTTCGTGAGCGCGTTACCATTTTCTTTGTTTCTTTTTTTTTACCGATCATTCACCAGCTGCTTTTAATTTGTAGACGATGTTGTGTAGAAAGGGTGAGAGCTTTTCCAGCCAAACAACATCGTTTTTCTTCCACTTCCCAGTTCTTAAATCAAAGTAAAATGCTACCAATATGCGTGAAAAACACTAAAGTTTCTGGTTGGGAAGAAAATTCTCAGCGAAGAATAAAATTTACAAAAGCACGAAAATCTGACATACATTGTTACGATGTAGGACTCTTTGTGGGTTTGTTCAGAGTTTTTAAACTTTTATTACTATTTCAATTTAAGGAAGACAGCCATCCTTTCTGCGGTTGATGCCGAGTTCAAGCATTTTTCGTTGATGCTTTAACTCGAAAATTTGGAATGTATGTTCTATTCTGGACTATAGTAATTTCT